GCTGTGCAGCGACTTCCCCTGTGATCCGAGCTCCTCTGCAGGGAGAGAGGGAGTTTCCACAGTTCCGCCTTCAGCGTTTGCTGGGAGGCATGGTCAAACACTTGCTTCCTGTTCTCCTGGTGGGGATACTTTGGGCTGGCTGTTACCTACACTTAATGCTCTTCCTCCACATGGCTGAAGCTTCCTGCCAGTGGGCACCTCTGCAGACACCCAGGGCATGAGTCAGCAAAAGGCAGCCAATGCCAGAACCCAAGTCCAGAGTCACCATCTCCACCAAGCTAGCTGCTGAGCATGCACTGGGTGCAGGGCAACGCCCTCCTTGGCCTGGTTTGAACAGTCTTCAAAGGGAAGCTTACTCCTCACACATCTCCCCCGGGGAGTTGCAACATGATTGACATGGGAATTTGGAGTTATATTAGGAGTGAAGCTATACAGAGACTTAAGATTTGCTTTGTTCTTGAGATTTTCATGATTGTGGAATTAATCCTAGTGTAATGGAAGAGGTTTTGGTCTAAGAGTCAAAAGACCTGGGATGCAGTCTTAACTGTGTCACTCATCAGCTGCTGTGTTCCCCCAAGAGAGAGTTAGCCTCCCTGAACTTCAGGGTTCCCATGTGTAAGCAGAGACATTCTTACCTCGCCTCCTACTTTGGGAACTGTTGTTAGGGATCCAGAAAAATGCTGCTGATGGCTATTTTCTGGGATAGTACAAATTGGATGGTGACTTCCAACCGAAGCCCTCACTGCAGAGATACGCCAGGCCGGAGCTTCTCCTCCTCACCAAACCCTTACCCCAGGAAAGTGCAGCTGCCTTGCTCATCTCACTGGGCTGTGAGGATCAAGAGAAATGCCGTGCACAAGAGGCCAGCCAACTCACAAGGGGTTCCCCTCTCATCTGTCCTCCCGTCAGCTTCCAGAAGTCTTCAGAGTCGCTCAGACCAGAGGGGCGAGAGACTGGGACGGAGAAGGAGTCTCAAGTCTATAGGGGTAGCACAGACATTACTTTGAGCAGCTGCGTCCAAAATAACTTCAAGAACACGGAAGGGAGGGTCCTTATGACTCAGTGCTGCAGAAGATGTTTGTCTCCCAAGCTTGTGTGGGACATCACTGTGATTGTGGCCTGTGGAAGCAGTGGCTCTTTACCTCGTGGTGGGCAGAAAGCGTGTACAGGAAGGATCTGAGCATCAAATACAACCTCCAAAGGCTGCCCTGCCCCCGTGACCTCCTGCCTCTGCCTAGACCCTGCCTAGTAAAGTGTCCAGAACCTTCCCCAAGCTTCTTAGACTAGACACTACGTATCCAACATCAGCATCTGTGGGGGTGGGAAACACTTGACAATCAAATCACAACAGGTACAATGTTGTGACCCCTACGCAAGGGCAAAACAGGTCATTTTAAACAACTTCACCTTTCTCAGAAATAACTTTCCCTCTCTACATGTGGTGCAGCTTCCTCCACCACCAGCTTCGTGCTTGGTGAGGCCCTCCCCCAAGGTTAGTTAAACTGTCCACAAGAAAGGCCTCCCTCAAAGCATTCTCACTGAGAAGAGACTGGAGCTAAAATGGGAGAAATTGGCAACTTTTAACACTTTTCATTGACAAACGCTGGTCCTCAGTGTTCACCACCAAGCGGACATGTGCACAGAAGAGCAGCAGCCAAGGGCAATGGGTAGTGTCTGGGGCTGGTGCCAGCACAGCTTGCCAGCTCTGTCCTCAGTGTCTTTGCCTTGGTGACCCACAGTGGCCAATGAGAACAGGTGGAAGGGAGCACAAGGCATCTGGGATAAGTCTTCTGACTCCAAGTAAACGCACAGCCAGGGAACAGCTTCTTACTCCCATTTCTTCAGACTGCCCCAAGAAGTGATGTGACCCTGGCTCCTGAGTTAATAAAAACACGACCTGATGCTTACCTGACGGTCTTACCTGTCACCCCTGGTGGCAAGTAGCTGACCCTCTTTTTAATTCATGTTGAGGCTTATTTAATCAGCTGTGCACAGGAAGATTTATAACCCATTATGAAAGTGTTCTTGGTAAAATAAAACTCTAATGCTGGGGTTGGGGGGGGCTGTAAAATGTTCCCAATATATGGGAGCAAGTGGGGTCAGGCAATGGCAGAGCCTTTCTTCAGCCCCACGCTCACACCAAAAGTATTAGCCCCAAATGAGGAACATATTTATCAGGAAAATCTTTTATTCTTTTAAAATAGAATTTCCTTCAGGAGTCAAAGTTCATGGGAACATTTACCATTCTGGTGCACAAATTGACATCGTTAATAAGGCTTCTTGAAATTCAGACTTTAAATCACAGTTAGAATGATAGGGTCAAAACAAGTCACACCAAGAACTCAGGGTCAAGCAAATAATGCTTTCATTGCAGCTGAATCACTTTAACACATTCTCAGTTAAAAAAAAAAAAAAAAAAGCAATAGACTAAAGAGAAGGAGGCTGGGGTTTTCTAAAGAAATATCTACTTCACAGCTTGCTACATAGCATCAGGAAGAAGCAACATCCATATCACCCTGAAGAGAAGAGGCAGTGCTCCCCTAGGGCTCCAAATTAAGCTAGGCATATAGGCCCAAATCAAGGGGACTTCTATGACAAGGTCATGGGGCAGAAGTGATAGCAATGCAATAGGGGGAGGGGACTCACCTGGTAAAAAGCAAGCTCCTTCCTATAAGCTTTTCCCCAAAACACGATCTTGGCAGGGCCTGGGAGCATAGGTGTGTAACTCCAGCAGTCAGAACAAGGACTTGGCAGGTCTTGGGACTGTACACCTACCATCTTCCCGATGGCTGCCATAGCAGAGACACTAGACTCATCCTTTGTGCCTGTCCTCCCGTCCCTCCCACCCAATTCGAAGATCCGGGGCCATCCTACTTGAAGCTTCTGGATTCAGACGCAGTTATGCTTGCTCTGGGGTCGAAACACTTCTTCTAATGAGAGGGAAACAAAAACTCGGCAGCTGCTCCAGTCCCCAGTGCCTAATGCTGTGTGGGCCCTGGAGAAGGATTCACTCTTAACCACTTGGGTTTACTTTCCACTTCACATGGGTTTACAGCTCTCCAGGAAGATTCTACCACACTGCCAGAAGTTCGTGACTCGATAATAACTAAAACAAAGATGGAATTTTGCCTAATACCAGGGACTCTAAAACTGCAAAGAGTGCGTTTTACCTCTGTAGCCTGAATGAATGGGAAACAGGTCCAGCACTGACTCCCTCTGAATTTCTTTCGCTGAAGCAAAGCAGATTCCCACTCAGCATGGCAAACCTTCCTGGCATGAAGATAAACTCGGCTCCCTGCTTCTGCCACCAATGTCAGCGGCTTAGCAGTAATACTCTGTTTGCCATCACAACCCAACTCATTTGATTTGCAGATGGGGACCCCTATTGGTATGAGAAAAATCCCTGAAAAAAATGGAAACCAGCCAGTGCTTCTTAAACAAGTGTGCCTGAATGTACCAATAAACAGAGCAGCACCCACCGTTTTGGGGCGGAAACCAGAGATGCAGCCTTGAAATGCTCCTCTCTTCTCCCACATCAGCACACACCCTCAGGAGAGTCACCCCCGGGCTCTGGAGTTAACCTCTTCCAACACCCCAGGGGCTCGTGTGTGCGTGCACGCCCACTGCACTGGAGCGGCCTGGGTTACCAGGGTGGCAGTCCATCTCCTCGCTGACAGATCTCCGTGTTGGGCAGGATTTCCAATCCTTCATGACTATCTATTTGTCACTGCAGGTGAGTGGTGGCACTCAGCCTGATCCCCAGCCACTTTCACAGTTACTTATCTGTCTTTATGGATTCATCCTGTGTGTCAAGCCAGCGCATAACAGCATTACTGTCAGGGTGACAAAACTGTCCCCAGAGTGCCACAAATGATTCTCTCTCCTTTTGGCTGCTAGCAGACGGAAACGGCGACACTGCCTTGCCTCACTCATCCTTCTCTGGCTATCACCGGGCCCACATCTCCTCCTGCAGGTAGAGCTGGCTAATGATGGGTGCAGCTGAGAACAGCTTTCACTAGTCTACAAATTATAAAGGGAAAGGGGGCAGGACAGAGGGAATTGTGGGCTTTCTGTGAGGAGCCAAGCTCTGTCACTCTCTCTTCTCTTGGGTGTGTCCCTGGCAGGTGTGGATGCTTGGTACTGTGGAAGGGAGATCTCCCTCTTAAAGTCCCTGCCCCCTGGAGCCCTCCTCCCCCGATGACATGTACTACACAGTGAAGGAATGGAGGGCTGGGAACTGCAATGCCTGTAAATCTGAACTGAAGTGGCAAGCTGAGATGTTTAGCGTCATTCTGGGAACAGAAATTCCAAACTGGAACTAAGAGTAAATAAGATTCAGGGGCACTTTGGTTTGCCAAATGATTTGTAATCATTTTCATGAGTTGACTGCTTCAAAAATAACATTTCATTTCTTTTCTGTTTTTAAATGGAGGCCTAGTTCCATTTTCCTCCGTGGTCTTCCTTCAAAATGTAATTTTGACAGCCAACGTGGATGCCTGTGGCTATGTTCCTCAGAAAGAAAGTTTTTGCTTTTTCTTTATTTTAATTCCACAACAGCATGCAAAACTAACACATCAGGGAATAGCCTGAAAACGTACTGCCAGGAGGTGAGGATGCTACCATCAGAGCTGCTGGTACTCAGTCAGGTACACAATCAATTTCCTAGGCTTGCCCTGCACAGTTTTCTAATGGTACTCAATGGTTTCACAGAGCTCCCAAATCAAGGTCAGCAGAGCTGAGCAGGGCAGTCACATTGTATTTGGGGGCCTCACTAAGAGTTAGGAAAACAGGTACTCAACAAGACATCATTTGCCAGGCGGGGCTGGGAAGAAGGTGGGCTGGAAGGCTTGGCTTTGCCTTTGGAAGGTCAAGTGAAATACAAGAGCATGTGTGCAGGCGCACACTCATAAACATACTTGCCTCAAACTCAGCTTTGTTCTTACCCCGATGAGTACTCGCTGGCTGAGGTTTTTTTTTTTTTTTTTTTTTTTTCAAAATAGGTTCAAGCTGATTTCTGACACTGGAAAAACAAACCTAAAAGCAATTTAGAAAACACCTGCCCGTGAAGTCAGATGGCAAAGTATCTAAAGCTTCTCTCGAAATCTGTGACCTCAGAGGCTGACATGGTTTGATGGGAAATTTAATGTAATAGGCTGCGAAAGCCAAGAGGCCTGTTGTCAGCAATGAAGTCTGAAAGTTAGCAGAATTAATAACGCTGTACAATGGAAGAGCCCTCAAGGGACAAGGCTGCAGAACCAGGGCAGTGGGGAAAAATGACTTTTGAAGTCATTTCACTATGACATTCTGTCATCACTGCTAAACGGAAATAAAAAATCATCCGAATCACCGCATGTTTCTTTGTGTGTCCTTTCCTTATCTAATATAAAGTAATAACACCCCACCCAGGCTGGGGAGGGACCCTCAAGGGATTCCTAGAGCTCCATTTTGAATGGCTAAATGCAATCAGAATAAATGCAAGTGGGAGTCTGTGGAGCAGAGAGTGATGCCGGGGCTGTTGCCCATCGAAAGCCAATAAATCTCAATGCTTCAACAAGAGATGAAAATGGTTATCTCATCATTGCAGTGCCAGGGTGAAATTCTCTCTGAGAGAGAGTATTTTTATAGATGATTTATGTCCTCGAAGGATAGTTATTTAGCAAAATGGCAGATAATGATGAATAGAAAGTAAATATGAAGAGCAGCAAGGGAGTGGTGCTTCGCAGCCGCAATAGACCAAACAAAATACCTCCATAAAGTACATGCCAGAGATAATTGCCCCAACACTGAAACTATCGTCCCTCTGCAACTGGGAGGGAAACACAAATGAGCAAGTCTGATTCAGTAAGTGATTGTTTTTTGTTGTCTTAGCATACACTCCCCTGGAGTCTGCTAATTCTCTTGAAAACATACTTTGTATTTATGGGAGAGCGGGTACGGCACTGAGCAGAGTCCTAGCACAGCCTCCACTTTAGATCTTGCTTCTAAACCTCAGTTTCCCCGTTTGTGCAACAGAGATAACAGCACTGACCCTTGCGAGTTTTAATCAGGGTCGTCGGTAGATCATTGGCTACCATCACTATCACTACCATCACCATCACCCACCCACCCCCTCACCAAGTTAGCTTTTACTATTCTTCTGGAGAATTGTTTATTACATTTTCATTTTGTCTGGCCCGCTCTGCTAGCTGACTCTGCTAAACCCAGAGTGGGATGGGCAAAGAACCAAGAGGGAAACTTGTAGTTCAGTGTCTGGGCTGGGGCCAGCCATCACCCAGCTTGATTTCTGAACAGTCTGTCATCCCAATCCTTAATCCTTAAGGCATAAGGAATGGCCACATTATCAAGCTGGAGGAGAAGCAAAGAACAAAAGAAATTATTCATGGAGATACAATGGAAAGGAAGTCTACTTTAAAAAGAAACAGAACTGAGTTTTGGAGCCTTTGAATAAAAGATAAGTTGACTGCACACAGAATGTCAAAATGGAATAGAAGGAGAACATTTTTTTTTTTTTTTTTACTGAAGCACTACACAAGGAAAAAAACACTAATTACAGTTTTAAATGTCCAAAACGCCATGTCCACCAAAAGCCCGCTGCTCATTAGTACCAGTAATTAACTTTACAACTGTCAACACAAACAGCACACAGGCTGACAGATAGAGAGTAGCTCTGAGGGTGCTAATAAATCCGGAAATAACAACTTGACACACAGATGCACAAAGGATGCAGGTGATAAAGAAATGTTGACATCAAATCTAATTATCTTCGAAACGGCCAACTACAGCACAAGCCACAGTAATGCTCGGTTATTGCTGCTGATGAGCCCCCACTGGCACAGAGCTTAACCACCGCCTACAACTGAGCGTTTACAGCCCTTGTCAGAGCTGGCGAGGACAATATCAAACAGGAAATTATGAGTGCCATGACCCCTCCAAGTCAAAACTCCAGTGATGAATATGGGCTCAGCAAGGCATGGCAGATTACCCCCTCACGAGTTCTAAAGCCGGGATGATATATGACATTTTTATCAGGCACTTTCTCAGGAATGTCACCAAGAGGGAAAATAAAGGCCCTGCAAAGAGCCGGGTAGGTGAATTATGCAACTGTAATTGCCGATCATAACCTGATATGAGTTGAAATTGCTCTGTTTTCATATTGAGATAGCATAAAATTGTCGGGAAATGCAATGGCTCCTTAATGTGGGCTAGATGAGTCTAATATTCTGATCATTTTTCACTCAGCTGCAAGGTAAATCGAGCTTCCTTAACGCAGCCACTGTGGCCCAGGGCAATCGAGGGGCCCAATTTTACACTTGAATTGAGCAAATATGTGTAAACTACGATTTTTCATATTTTCTGCATGCATAAGAAGATGAAACATCTTTATCATCCGTATTGTCTGGCTGAGCTTATACAAAATATTAGTTTATCTCTCCTACTTGGTTCATCCCATAAGCGAGGCACATAGATCTGAAGGACAGGCAATATCCCGTATATAAAACAAGTCCATCTTTTATGCAGTCTCCTCTCACACATTCTCCTATTTAAAGCAACTACCTCCACAACAAAAAGCCACACAGTGCCAGGGTACAGAGGGAGAATTCTTTTTAAGGAAACGTATAGCGGCCCTAGACACAAACAATTTTTCCATTGTTGTCATATCTGAGCATAGGAGATAGGGGGGAGCCAAATATTCCTGGATGTCTCTCTTAAACTCTCTCCTTCTGTCCACTTACAACAGGTACCTTGCAGGATAGTACCAGCATCTTACTGCTTTCTCACTGTGGCCTGCAGCAGAGGGGGAAAGGACCTGCCTGCTTTCGTTGCCCTTGGAGGCCATGGGAGTCTGGCTCATCTTCACTGTATTACTGAGCCTCTGTGGTGCCTGGTCCTATATCTGAGCTCTACTGCCCTGAGGATGGAGAGGGTAGGGCCACAAGAGCTGCCTTTTATACCTCATTTGCAGGCTCTTAAGTTGGCCACACCCCATGGTCCAGGGTGCAGGGAAGCCTCTGTTTATAGGGGACAAGGCCCTGAAAATGGGTCTAGTATAGGCTCATCCCGAAGGATGGTCCCTAAGGAGATGTCATCTATTGATGCCATCCGTGGATTAAGGCTTGTTGTGTGGGCTCTATCTGCATGACATTCCTTAGATGTATTCTGTAGGTGGATGTAGCTTAGTCCAGAGCATGACTCACCCCAGAATACTGTGTTAATCCAATGGGCCAGGCTCTGTAGGAGGTCGGGGTAGGTAGACCAAAAATTCAAAGTCATCATTTGACTTTGCAGCAGGTTTGATACTACCCCGAGCTACATGAGACCCTGTCTCAAAACAATAACTTAAAAAAAAAGATAATCGTATGTAATTAATTGATCAACCTACCTTTTTATTCCCTCATGTATCTATTTTGCAATACTAGGGAGTCTGGGGACTGAACATAGGGCCCTTGGGCACATTGGGCAAGCACCCAACCACTACACTATATCTCCACGCATGTCCCTTTAAAAATAAGCTGCTTGATTCTATCAAGAGATTCTATCATTGATTCTATCATTTTCTAGGAAGGAAATGGAGTGTGAATGACAGAGACCAGGGGAGAGCAAAGAAAACTGAGACTGGCAAGAGTCACTCAAATTAAATCAAGTTCAGCACAAGAGTATCATAACCAAGGGCGGAGAGTGTACTCAAGTGCTCTCTCTACTGTAGGAGCCACTCTGCTTGTCCAGGAATGAATACAATACTGAACAGTGTTTAAGCTGAAAGCTAACCTAGCCACAGAACAGTGAAGGAGGATGTGCTGTGTAGGGGGACGGAGGTGTGGTCCTATGAGACCAGCTTGTCGATGTGGTGACCTGTAGCATCTTGGGTTGCATTGCTGTGTACCCACTGTACCTGCACAGACCTGAGAAAGTGTCTGTGCACCCCAGTCATCTCTGTGTCAGACTGTAAGCTCCTTGAAGGCATGAACCTTGCTTTGTCTCAGAATTCTCAGCACAGTCCCTGATTGGCAGTCAATAAATAATGAGTGAATGAATGAATGAATGAATGAATATATGTGGATGGGTTGATATATGCTCTAACTGGCTAGTGTGTTCATTACTGGATGACCACTCCCCCCACCCCACCTGCAAGTAATAGCTTAAATTAAGAGGGATCATCTTCTGGCAGCTTCCATGTGAATTTCTGGTTCAGGGTCTCCATTATCCATGTAATCACAGTATGAGCTAGTACTGTAAAGGCTTCCCCCATATGCTGCTCACAAAATGACAACAAGTTCCCTTACAGTGACTGGTCCAGGCACAAAGTGTTGTTGGCAGGTGAGCACATTATCTCTTAGTACATTATTCACTGAAAGTGACCCAGCAAATCCAGCTCACATTAAAAGGGATGGGCTTATATAGGCTTTGAATAGCAGGGAAGATGGGTCATCAGAGGCCATCTTTGGCTGACTACCACTGTCAAGTTCTAACAGTTCTATATTTACTTCTGTGTAATATACCCCTGTCTTGAGTGCCAGAGTACACCAGTCAGTGAAAAGCAAGTGTGCAGCCGGGCAGTGGCGGTGTGTATCTCTCATCCCAGTACTTGGGAGGTAGAGGCAATTGGATCTCTATGAGTTTGAGGGCAGCCTGTTCCACAGAAAGAGTTTCAGGACAGCCAAGGCTACACAGAGAAACCCTGTCTTAAAAAAAAAAGAAGGAAGGAAGGAAGGAAGAAAGGAAGGACAGAAGTAAGCATGATGGTTAATCAAATGTCTTCACTTGATGAGACCTATAACCCCTTGCATATAACCTTATAGCCTATAACTCTGTGCATGTCTATAGGATTCTCTTGATTAGCTTAATTGAGTTGAAAAGATCTACACCATTCTGGGTGGTATAATTTCCTAGGGCGGGATACTGAGCTGTATAAAAAGAAGAAAGTGAGCCGAGCAATGCTTTCTTTGTTTCTCTGCTCCCTGACTATAGATGTAATATGACCAGTTGCTTCAAGTATCTACTGCCTTGATTTCCCTACCCTGATGGACTGTGAGCCAAAGTGAGCCTCCTGCATTTGCTTTTGTTGGGGTATTTTATGCTAGCAAGAGAGGGAAAGGGTAAAGCAAGAAGACTTGGTTAGCGAGGTAGGCCAGGCCACACTCTCACAGCACTCAAAGCCTAATATGGAAGCTGGATATGAAGTGACTAGCCTGGGAGTGGTGCTAACTGAAGGTGATGAGGGACTGGGAATGTGGGTCACAGAACACCTTTAGCTCAAAAGCATTCAAACTGGAATCACTGGTTGTTTGGCAGCCAGGGCGGTGACTATGCACGAGTACGCTGGCCTCCCCCACAGC